CTATCACAAACAATATATTTCCTATTTTCAAAAAGAATATTATATGTGTAAGTACTTTTGGTTTTTCATATTCATATTTTATTTATAGCCTATAATGATCAATATTAATATAGTTATTCTCCACACACTCGACCTGCTTAAAAATGAACAATGGAATTTTCTTTTCTACTGTATAATTTAAATATGAGCAACTAAGTTTTTTCCTGCTAATATATAATATTTAATTCTTTAATTTATAGACTTTATTTGACAAATCCTCTCATCGTTATTTTATTTTTCTAATTTTGCTATTTTGTGCTCTATATTACTACCAATTATCTGAACTTTTTCTCTCCTTTTTCATATCTTGTTAAAAATTACAAAAGCAAAACATTGGGGAAAAAAGAAAAGGCAGGTGAAGAATTTGAAAACATCTTCCTTATTATTGATGTCAATAATTCTTTTGACTGCCACTGCTATAAGGTGTTAATCCTGAAATTCTAACAGTATTAATGCAGAGAAGGAGAAGGGGACAGGGCCAGGAAACTAGTGGAAGTCCCTGAGCGGATGGCGTAAGCTCTCGGTATTTCCATTTTGAGATGGCACACCCCTGTAATCAAGGGCACACCCTTGGGGATCAAGGCTTCATATTAGAAAATCTCTCTTGTTATTTGACAAACTTTCAGCGTAATAGACCATCCCTGGTAGCATCGAAGGCAGAAAACTGGCACGCTTGTGTACTGCTCTCTGTCTATCTGTCTGTCTGTATCATCTCATAGACTGGAAAAGCTGCAACACTGCAAAACCCTGGTCAATCAGCCCTCGGGTTACCAATGCCCGACTTGTGAATAACGATCAATTGGTTGGACATTTTCTTCTCCTAATCTCACCTACTGCAGGCTACTGCAACCCCTATCTTGGAATCACAACCGTTTCTAGAAGAGGAGTTCTTTTGTTCTTTCTAACAGTTTAGCACACCTGGGATGAAAGGCCTACATAACATGCCCTTCCTTTTTTCTTCAATTATTTTTTATTGTGATAAAACATATATAACATAAAATTTACTATCTCAACAATTTTAAGTGTACATTTCAGTGGTATTAAGTACATCCATACTATTGTGCAACCATCACCACTATCGGATCTCCTGAACTCTTTTCATCTTGCAGAACTGAAACTCTGTACCCATTAAACACTAACTCCCCCTTCTTCCCTCCTCCAGACCCTGGCAACCACCTTTCTGTTTTCTGTCTCTATGATTTTGATGACTCTAAGTACCTCGTGTAAATGGAATCATACAGCATTTGTCTTTTCCCCCTTCCTTTTTCTGTACCTTTCTCAATTCCATTTAATCCACTTCAAATATGATTTCTTCTACAGAAGAGGTCATTCGTTTGACTTTTTTTCTTTCCCTTTATCTCTGGGAAAAAAAGAATTTAGATCTTCTGACCAACCTCATTCCATTTATAAGTATCCCATTTAACAAAAAAAGAAAAGAAAAGAAAAGAAAAATGTTATTGGGATAATTTTGTGATTCTTCCATAGAGGTCTAAGTTTTGAAGTGTAATTAACCATAACAAAGAGCTATAGCTGCCAATATCTAAAATCTCTAACTGGCTAAAAGTTCTTTTGAAAATCTCCATAAAAGTATTAACTCTGTCTAGGCCTGGTGGCTCACGCCTGTAATCCCAGGAGTTTGGGAGGCTGAGGTGGGAAGATCACTTGAGACCAGGAGTTCGAGACCCCATCTCTGCCAAAAAATAAAAAATAAAAATAAATAAAAACGAAAAGTTTTAACTATTTATTCATCTTTAATTAAAATTATTTCCCCTCAACATGAAAAGTCTTTTAACTCACTTGTATTGCTTTTTCTAGGAGGCTGATGATTCCAATAATAGTGTATTGTATTCCAATAATAGTGTTTTCTCTTTATTCCATGGGAAGTATACAGATTTCAATTATGTTATGGGTTAAAGAGGTTTTTGAAGACTAGAGTCTGGGAACCAAGTCAAAATGTTTAATACTGCTTCTCTAGGAAAGTGTTCTAAATTCCACACAGCTCCTGAGAAATGAACTAGTAGAACACAACCCATTTATCAACTAAAGACTGAGTGTATACTATTACGCGCCACATAGATTTTCCTTAGCAATTCAGAGCTGAAAGCTGTTGGCCAGCCCTAAGCCACAGGACACGTACTGAACAATAAAAGAAGCAGACGACCAAATCCCAGCAGCCAGCATGTCCTCCAGCTCCCCTGGCAGAGTATATGGCCATCAGAGCTCAACACCCAGTAGACAATATGCTGATCCTATAGATTCTGTGAACACTCTGTGACTTCAAAGACCCATCTGCTATCTTTTTAACTTAATTTTTAAAAATTGACAAATTAGAATTGTATACATTTATCATGTACAACATGATGTATTGAAATATGCATACATGTGAAATGACTCAATCAAGCTAACTAACATAGGCTTTACCTCACATACTGATTATCTTTTGTGGTAAGAAACTCATCAAGGCTGGGCGTGATGGTTCACGCCTGTGATCCTAGCACTCTGGGAGGCCGAGGCTGGCGGATCGCTCTAGGTCAAGGAGTTCAAAACCAGCCTGAGCAAGAGCAAGACCCCGTCTCCACTAAAAATAGAAAGAAATTAATTGGCCAGCTAAAAATATATAGAAAAAAATTAGCTGGGCATGGTGGCGCATGCTTGTAGTCCCAGCTACTTGGGAGGCTGAGGCAGGAGGATCGCGTGAGCCCAGATTTGAGGTTGTTGTGAGCTAGGCTGAAACCATGGCACTCTAGCCCGGCCAACAGAGTGAGACTCTGTCTAAAAAAAAACAAAAAAAACCCCACAAAAACCTCATCTGGGTTTTGGATATATTTTCTTCTAGTGCATGATGAAGAAACATATGTTTAACTAAGGCACATAAAGACTTTGAAAACCAAATGTGAAAGGATGCCGAAACTGAAACAGGTTTCCAAGAGAGCAATCCTGAACTACAGAAATAAGCCTGGAACAGAGAGCAACCAGACCACTGTGTGACTTGGCAAGAGCTACCAGAGGGTTATCAGAAACTACCAAGGAGCTGCAAAAAGAAAAGGTAAAGAAACTCCCAACTCCTGCATAAAATGCCAGGTTAAAGATAACACATTAGCTGATGATACAGTGAGTCTCAGAGCTGGGAATGTTGATCTGTGTGAGGTTCTATTCCAAATGGGGAAGTGCCAATAGCAATCAAGGTCAAGTTACTATCAGGGCAGTAGACGCACCAACCAGAAGCCTCCTTTTTTCTCTCCATAGGTCTGTAGAAAACTGGGAGTATGCCTGCCTTGGTTGGTAGCAATTCTGTCCCTAGGAATTAATGGGGAAGAAAGAATGGGGCTTTCATTGACTTTTGTTTGCTTGCGGTCTCACATTTCAGGATAAACCATTCCTCATCTAGAACACTAACTCCCTATCCAAACTTTTTGAACATTTAAGAGTTACTTCCACATTATTTGGCACTTAACTCTCTGCAGTTTCACATTATTCTTTGACTGTGTGGTGCATGCAAATCTGGCCTCCTCATTAGGATCATAAACACCTTAAAGGCAAGTAAACTGACTTACACGTCATTAGGATCTCCCATAACAACTACAGACTGCTGGGTGCAGAGTGGGTATGGGAGAGACACAGGCTGATAAACTAGCAGGATGAGGTCCTGGCATATAGTCACCAGCACTGAAGCAATGCCAATCTTAGGTCAACTTCCTGGGAAGAGCATGATGGACAATGCAAACTTGGCAGTCTCTGGAAGCCACATCAGAGTAGGGAAACCTTGAACCCTGTGCAGAAGGAAAACTGCCTACCACCTAGAGACTATAAACTCCATGAGGGCAAGCATTATGGCAGAATTTGTTCCCTTTCCAGTACCTAGCACCTAGTAGGGGCTCAAAAAATACGTTGAATGGATGGGTGAAACACATACGACACCAAGTTTCTTCCTGTTAGTCTCTTGGACCAGTATTCCTACATCTTGTGTTTTTCTTCCTTCATCTTTTAAAACCGATCCCCAGAAGCTAAGGCAACTCCAGAAAACAAACCAACATGGCGCCCAACATGGTACACATGGGGGTGGTGGTGTTCTTGGGCCGAAACAGGGGAGTGTGGGGGCAGCATGGGGGAGGTTGAGGATGAAGGAGGAAGGTCACTGGCCCATTAGCCCTGGGTCCCAGGGATAGATGTGGAGGGACAATAGCTGCTCTTCTTGAGGTAAATGGCCAGATGTCAGACTGCGCTCTTGGCAACCCCCAGGCAGTGGAACGTTGCTCTGCATGGTCCCTGTCTGTCTGGCAGCTTCCTGCCAGGGAAGACTGCCAAGTGGCTTGTGACAGCTATGTAGTGCACAGTCTCCAAGATTCTTTGGTGCACTGCCATTTCTGACTTCTGACCTGCCTGGCTGCTACTCGTGGGAAGTAGCTGGGAAATTCAAATGCTGAGGGACCCCATTTTCCACTGGCTTCTGTTTTTCAGCAGGATGCCTGCCTATCTTGTCCTTTAAGATGTGAGTTGTTGTGAGATGGCCCTAGGCCTTTCTGGTCAATAGGAACCTATTGCTTCTGTGTATGAAGGAGATCTATACTTCACTCTGCTCCCAACCGCAGTTTGTTTCCAATGTGACCACCTGACCATAGTTGTTTACTAGCATATGATCACAGTCATTGAAGCCTGTCATGGACTACCGCTAGGAGAAACCACCTCCTGCCTGAATGATTTTTTAAAAAAATTAAAGATAGCATTTTAACCATTTACTTCTTTTGAAAAAGAAATTTAAAAATCTTAACGGTTATTATTTGGAATGTTTACACTTTAAGGGACTTTAATAAGAAACCACCTTTTTATAGTTTCTTAAAGCAGCTATTTTTACTTAAAGTCACTGATAAGTGGACTCAATTTTCCACCAGGAGACGCACACATGTTTAGATTCTTCTGTATAGTAAAAGGTGCAAAGATAAAAGTGAAATTCCAGACATTACCTTTCAGCATCATTCGTCCCGTGGATCCTCCAAAAGTACTGAGAAGGCCACTTCTTGCTCCTAAAGATGTGGTTGCTTCTAGCAGAGAACCGGTGATGTACTGAGATATGGAAGTCCTTTGGAGGGTGGCACGGTACTCACATACGGTGTCTCGGACACATTGCTTTAGGCACGGACCAATGCTAATCCCTCTATGGGCTGTCTCAGGGGCTAGGAGCTTTGTGAAGAAATGGAGTAGAGATCCAACCGTATCTTCTGTTTCCTCTCCCCTTCTCACTGCATTGTAGATCTGCGAATAGCACAAAGTACAGGAAGTATTAATCTAGCTTCTTAGAAAAGCAAATTAACTTGTTGACAAAATGCCAAGATGACTTATTAAGAAAGAAGGCTTGGTTGCTCTAAGCGCAAACACTCTTGAACGCTGGACTCATGCATTAACCTGAACATTCTACAGACACCATTTATTTGGGAAAGCTATGTGTAGTTATGAAATAGGCCATTCAAACAACCCTGCTATCAAACAGAGCACTTACCAATTTTTGTACCAACCAAAAATATATTCAGCTCAAATTTCTCCTCCTCTACAGAGCAAAGATCTTCTGCAGAGAGATGAGGATAAATCTTTCCTTTTTGTCCTATGGACTGTCCTACAGAACTGTCCCATGTCTGTCTGCCTCCATGGAAAACTTCAGACTGACATTCATGGGAAATCTTTTCTCCATGCCCAAACTGAAGTGAGGATGAGAGGACCATAGGGAAAGAGAATGTCTCTATTTCTCTCTTGGGCATAATCTTCAAACTATCAACTGAGATCAAAGTCTTTGAATTCTCTTTTTTTTTTCTTTTTCTTCCCTCACCTCCCACATCCAATGAGTTGACAAATCTTGCCCACTCTCCTGGGCCTGTCTCTGTCTCTATCCCGATTTCCTCTTCCTCGTCACCTGAATTCACCAAGCATTGTCTCAAGAAGACTGGACTATTAGGAGAGGTACCCAACCATGTCTCCAATCCATCCCAGTGCAACGGAACCATGTGACATGCATTTGTGCAGACCCTACTCTGTGCAAGGCACTGTGCTAGGAAGCATGGGGCAAGTGCAAAGGGTAGCTCACATCTCTTGTGCTGCAGGATTTTGCAATCTAATTTAGAAGATAAAGCCTGAAAGTTAGAAGGTTTGACATTGCAGGAAGGTTTTGGGTTTTTTCAAGCATTCTGGGAAGCCAGAGATTTCTGGATAATGTATAAACACAGGGAAGAAACATGTGTTGGGGTGAGGTAATCTAGCTCTCTGGTGGTGGAATAAAGGCATACTATATTGTGTTGTCTCCATCATGCTGCCTGGAGCATCCTGCCTTGGTTGACTTCTCATTCATTCATCAAACCAACAAACAGTTACTATGTGTTTATATACCAGTCATTGTGTCAAGTCTGGGTAAATAAAACAGCTTCTCCCCTCAAAGAACTCATAGTCTAGTAAGGCAGACAGGAAGAAAAGCAAGGAGCTTATAGGAGGGTGAAATGAGTCACCCCCTTTGGTGACATCAACAAATGGCCATAGAACAGAAGACCCTCATGGCCCTCCAGCCCATGCATGTGGCCCCATGACTCAGCACACTCCAAAGCCCATCTTAGCCAGGGCCCACTGGCATTCAAGAGAACCCCTATTGAGCTGTGCTAGGTCTTTATGAGACCCTAGAATATACATAGGACTCTCGTGATATTCAAACTATACAGAGCCTAACTAGATTTCTACTCTGCTTTCCTCTGCCTACCATGACATATTTGCCACTGGAAAGCAGAGTGTAAATTCTCAGCTTTAATTCTCAGTCATTAAATTTCTAGTGGCCAGCGTGGCCATGGAGAAAGAGCCCAGGTATGGGGTCAGGTATGTGGAGTTGTGTATGATCACAGAGCTGATCATGACCACATACAAACTGACTTGAATGTTTCAAGACAGCTTCCTCCTCTATGAAATGGGGATGATAATACCCCTTCTTAGGGATGTTGGAATTCGCCAAAACAATGCATGGAACATACTCAGCCTAGTGTCTAGAAATGGTGCTCGTTATTGTTGGGCAAGTCTGTAGAAGAGAATGCACTTCTCTACCCTCAAGGAACAACAGGTGGTTGTGTCACTGCAAAGCACAGTCTATGAAATTCAGTGTGGTAGAGTTGTTGGGCAGCATCCTCTTAAGTTTATTTGGGTGTATGTGAGGGCAAATGGAAGCTTCCCAGCTGTGTGACCTTGGATAAGTTGCTTTGCCATTCTGTGCCTCAGTTTTCTTTTCTCTAATATGGGGATGTAATAATATCTGCCTCATAAGGTTGTGGCTAGAATTATAAGCTTTGATGAATGTAATGTGATTAGAACGGCACCTGGCACTTAGTAAATGTTCAACAAATATTAGTTTTTATGATGATGGTGACAATGATGATTGTGGTAAACTACAAAAATGTCCATAAATTATTTCCCTCACTGACTCTGGGCTGGCATTATGATTTGCTTAACCAAATGGAATTTAGCAAATGTGATGAAGACAGAGTCTTAAAAATATCTGTGGATTGGAGCTTATTCTCTCTTGTTGCTTTTGGGAATTTTGCAACAACTACCATGTGAATATGCCCAAACTAGCTTGCTGGAAGAGAAGAGACCTTGGCTCAGTCACTTATCACATGGTGAGGCCGTCCTAGATCCTAGATCATCCAACTGGCAGTCCAACCACCACTACGGACCCATGAGAAAGCCCAGCAGACATCAGGTGATGCAGGCGAGGAGACCTACTCACCCAACTCACAGAATCACAGGCTAAATAAATGACTGCTGTAAAAAGTCATCAGGAGCACTCGTTACAAAGCAAACATTATTTGATACAATGATGATGTGTTGGGCACAATGCTAAGTATTTTAATGACATAACAACTGAATCCACACACTAACCTTATGAGGTTGATTCATTTTGTAGATGGAAAAGTAAGCCTAGAGATGTAGAGAAATACAGTCACCCTTACACAGCTAATAAGAGGCTAAGCCAGGATTAAAACACAGGTTTCTCTAACTCTGTGGTCCAGCTTTATCCATTGTACAATATATTGTCACACCCACAGCCCAACAGTGGGATTCAAGATCACATTGTTATCTGGTAAGAGGTTTAAGTGATGTTTACACTACTGGGGTTATTGTTTTTATTCATGGTAATTCCTTTTATGATCATACTAAATTACTTTTTAAAATAGTCAAGTCATGACTAATGAAGGACCAAATATGTTTCCTTTATGTAGAGATTTATGGTTTTAAATTATAAAGTAAAATATATATACATAAACTTTATCTCATTTGATTAATGTGGTAATGGAAAGTGCTGAAAACTAGACAGACTGCTGCGTTATAGGGGCCAATATCTTTTCTGAAATAAAATCAACTTGTTACAACATGGCATCTAAGCTTGCTAAACAGTTATGTGTCCATTCGTTTTTTCAACAATTGATTTATATTTACTGAGCACACATGCTGTGCTAAGCCTGACTTCTAAGCAAGAACAGCTTTTTTTAGTGAGAAAGGCAGATTAATAAGTAGACCAAAGAAGTTAATATAGGTCATTAAATATGAAATGTCCAATTTCGAATCAAAAGTGTAGTTTATTATATCTCAAACAAGAAGCAATACAATTAATCAAAGTATGCACTTAAACTACTGACATGATTTTGTCATCTTAATGGTATCTTGTTTATGCCAGCAGCAAAGAAGCCTGAAGAGCAAGTGGTGATGAAATTGTGAAAGGCATTTTCCACAGCTTGTTGAGAATTGAATCTTCTCCTTGCAAGAAGTGGTCCAAAGCCTGGAAGAAGTGGTAGTCAGTCGGTGCAAGGTCTGGTCAATACAGTGGGTAACAGAGAGTTTCCAAGTCCAGCTGCTTTAGTTTGAGCAGCGTTGTTTGTGCGACGTGGTCAAGCATTGCCTTGCAAGAGGATTAGCCTGTCTCTATTGACCAATCTCAGCTGCTTAATCACAAATATCCTCATCATTTTGTCCAACTGGTTGCAGTAGACATCCACTGTAATCAACTGACCAATCATGATCTGTAGTGGATAATACCGGTGCTGGACCACCAAACAGACGCCATTAGCTTTCTTTGATGAATATTTGGCTTTGGTCTGTGTTTTGGCACTTTATCCAACCACTGTGCCAAATGTTTGTGATTGTCAAAAAGAATCCATTTTTCATCACGTGAACAATATGGTTTAGAAATGGTTTGCCTTTCTGTCGTGACAGCAAAGAAAGACAAGCTTCCAGATGATTTCTCTTCTTATGCTCATTGAATTCACACGGAAGCCATCTATTCAGCTTCTCTACCTTGCCAATTCATTTTAAATGATCCGGTATTGTTGGAGTAGTAATGTCAAACCTTGCTGCTTATTCATGCATAGGTTGAGATGGATTCACTTCCACTACAGCTTTCAGCTCAGCATTACCCACCTTGGTCTCAGGTTGCCCATGTGGCTCATTTTCAAAATTAAAATCACCATCGGAACTTCTTAAACCATCGACGTACTGTGTGTTCATTAGCCACATCCTTCCCAAACACTTTGTTGATACTTTGAGCTGTCTGCGTTGCATTGGTTCCACAATGGAACTCATATTTGAAAATAAGACAAACTTTTGACTAATCCATGCTTTCACAAAAATTGCTCTAAAAAATGTGAAAGATAATCACCAGCCAAACATGCGTTTGAAAGACTGCGGATGTGCCTTCACAATCAAAATAAAACAAGACGTGTCAAAGTGAAATGTAAGAGATATCAGCTGTCAAACTTAGTACTTAAGGAAATCGGACGCTTCATGCTTATAACCTAATTAATTATTATATATAGTCAAGATATATTTTGGGCTGGGTGCAGTGGATCACGCCTGTAATCCTAGCACTCTGGGAGGCCGAGGCGGGAGGATCATTTGAGCTCAGGAGTTGGAGACCAGCTGAGCAAGAGTGAGAACCCATCTCTACTAAGAAAATAGAAAGAAATTAGCTGAACAACTAAAAAAATATATACATAAAAAAAAAATTAGCGGGCATGGCGACACATGCCTGTAGTCCCAGCTACTCAGGAGGCTTAGGCAAGAGGATCACTTGAGCCCAGGAGTTTGAGGTTGCTGGGACCTAGGCTGACACCACGGCACTCTAGCCCAGGCAACAGAATCTCAAAAAAAAACAAAAGATATATTTTGGACATAGACTTTACGGGACTTGCTGAAGTTAATGGAAGTGAGAAAACGAAAGGAGTCAAGGTTTCTAC